AACACCCTTTCACGATAAAAACACTTGACACACTAGAAATGAAGGGAACTTCCTCAATCTGATAAGAACGTCTATGAAAAACCCACAGTAAACATCATATTTATCGGTGAAAAACTGAAAGCTTTCCCTTAAGATCAGGCACAAGACCAGAATGCCCATGTTCACCACTTGTATTCAACATTACACTGGAAGTTCTAGCCAGAGCACTTGGGCAAGAAAAAGATATATAAGTCATCCAAACTGGAAAGAAAAAGTAATACTATCTCTATTTGTAGGTGATATGATCTTACATATAGAACATCCTAAAGAATCCACAAAAAAAGATATTTAAGTTAATAAACACATTCGGCAAAGCTGCAAGATACAAGATCAACACAAAAATTAGTGGTATTTCTATGCACTGGCAATGAACAATCTGAAATAAAGTTAAGAAAACAATTTTATTTACCATAGCATCTAAAGGAGTAAAGTACCTAGGAATAAATTTAACCAAGTAGTTGAAAGACTTCTACGCTCAAATTACAAACATTGCTGAAAGAAATTAAAAAAGACCTAAGTAAATGGAAAATATCCCATGTTCACAGATTTAATAAAAGAGAACAAGATTTAATATTAAAATGTCAATATTCCCCCAAAGAGATTTACAGATTCAGTGCAAGCCATATCAAATTCCAATGGCTTTTTTTTTTTTTTTACAGACATGGAAAAGCTGATTGTGCAATTCATATGGAATTGCAACGGACCCTGAGTAGGCAAAACAATCTTGAAAAAGAACAAATTTGGAGAAATCACACATCTAGATTTCAGTACTTACTACAAAGCTATGGTAATCAAAACTGTGTTATTGGCATAGGGATAGATATAGATTAATGGAACAGAATTGAGTCCAGGAAGAAACCCATGCATATACATATGGTCAATTAATTTTCCACAAGGGTGCCAAGACCATTCAATGGGGAAAATAGTCTCTTCAATAAATGGTGTTGGCCCAACTGGACGTGTAAATACATATCCATGTATACATGTAAATATGCATATACATGTAAACACATAAAAAGAATGAACTTGGACTCCCTCTTCATACCATATACACAAATTAAGTCAAAATGGATGGAATTCCTAAACATCAGAACTACAACTATAGAAATCAGAAGAAAGCACAGACGTGTACTCTGATTTGGACTTGGATGACCTTTGGGCTTGGATTTGGCAATAGAGTCTCAGAACTGACACCAAAAGAATGAGCAGCAAAAGAAAAAAATAGATCAGTTGGATTTCATCAAAATCAAGGATATGTGCGTCACAGGACACCATCAAGACAGTGAAAAGACAGCCTAGAAAATGGGAGAAAGTATTTTCAGGTCACATATCTCAAAAGGTCCTAGATGTAGAATATATAAAGAGTGCTTACAACTCAACAACAAAAACACGAACAGCACAATTTAAAAAATAGACATTTTTCCAAAGAAGATATGCAGATGGCCAACATGCACATGAACAGATGTTCAATGTCATTAGTCATTAGGGAAATGCAAATCAAAACCATGATGAGATACCACTCTGCACCCTCTACAGTGGTTATAATACTAATTAAAAAATGGAAAACAACAAGTGTTGGTGAAGAGGTAGAGAAATTAGAACCCTTATGAACTGCTGGTGGGACTGTTGAATGGCTGCTGTGGAAAACAGTGGTTATTACTCAGTAAGTTAAACATAAAATTACTAAATGACCCATCCTAGATATATACCCCAAAGAAGTGAAAGCATGTTCAAACTAAACAAATGGCAGGAATGTCCACAGCAGCACTGTTCATAATAGCTAAAAGGTAGAAAAAACCCCAAATGTCCATTAACAGATGAATCAGTAAACAGAATGTAGTATATCCTTACAATGGACTATCGTTCAGCCATTAAAAATAATGATGTACTGGGGTGTCTGGCTGGCTCAGTTGGTAGAGTGTGCGGCTCTTGATCTCAGCGTTGAGGCTTACGTTGTGTATAGAGATGACTTAAAAAGAAGATCTTAAAAAAATAATGATGGGGTGCCTGGGTGGCTCAGTCGTTAAGCGTCTGCCTTCGGCTCAGGTCGTGATCTCAGGGTCCTGGGATCGAGCCCCACATCGGGTTCCCCGCTCGGCGGGAAGCCTGCTCCTCCCTCTCCCACTCCCCTTGCTTGTGTTCCCTCTCTCGCTGTGTCTTTCTCTGTCAAATAAATAGATAAAATCTTAAAAAAAATTAATGATGTACTGATGCGTGCTGAAACACGGATGAATTTGGAAACATTATGCAAAGTGAAAGAAACTAGAAAAAAAGGTCACTTGTATGTTTCTATTTATATGAAATGTCTAGGATAGTCAAGTCCATACAGACAGAAAGTAGATTAGTGGTTGCCAGTGGGAGGGAGCAGGGAAAGGGCCATGACTGCTTAATGGATATGGGGTTTCCTTTTGGGATGATGAAAATGTTCTAGAACTAGATAATGTGATGGTCATACACCAACATGAATGTACAAAAGGCCACTGAATTGTACACCTTAAAACGAGCAAAATGGTGGATTTTGTGTTATGTGAACTTTGTCAGTACAAATAAAGTGGTGCCTGGCATTCCGAGGGCTGTAACACAGCCATTTTTTTTTGTAAAGATTTTACTTACTTATTTGACAGAGATAGGCACAGCGAGAGAGGGAACACAAGCAGGGGGAGTGGGAGAGGGAGAGGCAGGCTTCCTGCGGAGCAGGGAGCCCAATGCGGGGCTCGATCCCAGGACTCTGGGATCATGACCTGAGCCGAAGGCAGATGCTTAACGACTGAGCCACCCAGGTGCCCCTGTAACATAGCCATTTGAATGAGGCTTGTGATAAGGTTTTCTTAGCATGGAAAACACGTTATCACGTTAAGTGAGAAAAGCAGGGTACCAAACTTTCCATACAATATGATCTCAGCCATGTAGAAACAAATGAAGCCTGTGCCCGGAAGAAAAGAAAGGCCAAAGGAAATTTACCAAAATGTGGTCTCTGGGTGGTAGGACTCTGGCTGACTTTGTTCTCATCTTTTTACTTTTCTAATACTTTCCATTTTTTTCTTTTAAAAAAAGCATGTACAGTATCACTTTTATAATGGAAGAAACACCTTTTTTTAAAAAGTGTGAACAACAATAAATGTAATTTAAAATAAAAGGAAACAGAGTAGAGGCAAGGAGACACAGAGGAGCCAAATCAAGAGAGAACACGCTTCAGGGGAGCAATCATGCAATTTGGACTTGAAAATTGCCAGGGAACAGATGGCAGAGTCCAAGCAGACATCTGCAATGGAGAGTTAAATCATATGCAAAGACACAAGTGGCCTTTGAAGCAGGTCCCGGAGAGGCCCAGCAGAGAACGCTGCTTGCCTGGCCAAACAGAAGGGCAGAGCCTTTGCCCTGCCTCGTTGCAGCCTGGCTCCCTATGAACCCTTGCTGGGGGCCCAGGGATGGGGGCAGGATGGGGGGAGCTAAGGCAGGGCTCCGTGCAGATGTGCTTGGCTGTGTAAGGGTACAGAAGAGGTTGTGGGAGAAGAAAGAGACTTCTAATCATGACAGTGGCAAACATGGCGGCTGACATTTACCCAGGGCTTCATAGTTTATAAAAGTTTCACATACATAACGTAAATGGCAGTTATAGTACTGATCATTTTTCATGATGGCCCCGCCAGGAGGCTAACTGGCATTCCTATCTTAACCATGGAGGAAGGAGACCCAGAGAAGTGACCTGGGTTTAGTGCACACTTATATAGTGCTCACTAAGTGCCGTGGTCCTAAAAGCTTTCTCGTGCATTAATTGTCCATGTTGATGCAGCTAGGAAGGGGCAGAACTGGGGCTCAAATGTGGGGTTTTTGGATTCTACTACACCACACTTCTGCTCATATCTAAGTAGAACTCAGCTCTGCCCACAGAATCTCAAGTATGGCCCAAGTGGTTCTATCCATCCATCCATCCATCTATCCATCCATCCATTTCATCTATCCATCTTTATTTTTCTGATTTTAAATTTAACACGACTGTATAAAAAGTACAAATATTACTGAAATAAATAACATAGAAAGCAAAAGTCCCCCTAAATCTCACACCTAAAGTTACTCATTCTTTTTTTTTTCAAGATTTTATTTATTTATTTGTCTGAGAGAGAGCACAAGCAGGGGGAGGGGCAGGCCGAGGGAGAAGCAGGCTCCCTGCCGAGCTAGGAGTCTAACGCAGGACTCCATCCCAGGACTCGATCATGACCTGAGCCTAAGGCAGACACTTAACTGACTGAGCCACCCAGGCGTCCCCAAAAGATACTCATTCTTAACTGCTTGATGTGTGTTCTTCCAGATTTTTTCTATGCTATGCTAATGCACATATTTTTCTCTTATTTTAAAAAGTAGGATAATACTATATCTACACTTGGGGTGCCTGGGTGGCTCAGTCGTTAAGCGTCTGCCTTCGGCTCAGGTCATGATCCCAGGGTCCTGGGATCGAGCCCGGCATCGGGCTCCCCACTCAGCGGGAAGCCTGCTTCTCCCTCCCCCACTCCCCCTGCTTGTGTTCCCTCTCTCTCACTGTGTCTCTCTCTGTCAAATAAATAAATAAAAATCTTTTTAAAAAATTTAAAAAACGTTAAAAAATAAAAAATAAGAAGCAAATAAATAAACTTAAAAAAAAAAAGACTGTACTAATTGGCACTCCCACAAACGGTGTATTAAAATGACTTGTTTCCTCATAAGCTCGTCAATGCTGGGTATTCTCAGTCTAAAATGTTATCATTTCAAAACATAAAAATGGTATCTCATTGTAACTTGTGTTTTAAAAATAGGAAGAGACCATCTTTTTGTATTTCTGATTTAGTAAGTTGCTTGTTTGTGTCCTTTGGCAACTGGCTTTATATTGGTGTATTGCAGAGAGGAGAAGCCCTGTAGACAGTCTGGGATTATGGTACATTCATTCTCTTTTAAGGGACAAATAAGCCCTGGAGATTTATGCTCACCATAAAACTCGTTCTTAAATGTTGTATTTGACGTCATATTGGAGGGCTGAGAAGAAATGCAGTTGGCCAACCATAATCGATATTGGGTTTCTTAGTGATTACCACCTTGTGGGGTTCCTTTTGATTTATTAGCCACATGAAAGATGATAAGATAATATAATCACATAAGCCAGGGACAGAAATAAACATTTGCTCATCCACCATGGACAGTTCAGAAATAGCTCCCTGGCAGGTGGATGGTGGGGGCTCCGGCACACGGCGCGGGGCAGGAGGGTGGTTTGCATGCACACGCATGCGCATGTGTGCGGGCAGGCATGTACTTGTTTGCCTTTGAAAGACATTCAGTGCAGGAATGGAGGGAGACAAATTGTAGGGCTAGAGAATATCTAGAAGCTCACATCTGGGGTCATCTCTCAGAAGCAGGGATGTGGTCACTTCCGGTCAGCCTCTGTAGTTGCTGTCTGGGGGGTCAGTTTTAAAGCGCTAGTCCCAACGTCACAACCCTAATTTAGAGAGAGGCTGGAATTCCGTTCTGCCATAAAGCTCTTTTTGGTTTGTCTTGGGCTGTGCTGGGACTGGAATTAGGTTGATGCTGGGCAGGTCTCAGATAATCGCCTGGGGGCCTGGCGTGTGAGGTTTGTCCTGGTGATAGTATCATGATTCACAAATAGCTTCCTATGAAACAAAGGCATACTCAATTAAAATTTTCATAGATATTGCCAAATTGCCCACCAAATGACTGTACCGATGGACATGTTCTTTTTATTTTTTTAAGACTTCATTTATTTAGGGGCGGCTGGGTGGCTTAGTGGTTAAGCGTCTGTCTTCGGCTCAGGTCATGATCCTTGGAGTCCTGGGATCGAGCCCCACATCGGGCTCCCTGCTCAGCGGGAAGCCTGCTTCTCCCTCTGCCTGCCACTCCCCCTGCTTGTGTTCCCTCTCTCGCTGTGTCTCTCTGTTAAATAAATAAATAAATAAAATCTTTATTAAAGAAAGACTTCATTTATTTATCTGAGAGAGAGAGCGAGCATGAGCAGGGCGAGGGGCAGAGGGGGAAGCCGACTCCCCACCGAGCAGGGAGCCCCACGCGGGTCTAGATCCTGGGACTCTGGGATCACCACCTGAGCCTGAGGCAGATGCTTAACCAACTCAGCCACCCAGGTGTGGTGGGAGGGACATGTTCTTCAGTAACATTGGAGAGCGCTTTGCATGCATCATCTCACTTAATTTTCAAACAGTTTTGTATGGTCAGTAGATAGGGCTATTATCCGGCATGGATTATAATGCAAATGGTGGCTCCCTGAGTTGTGTGTGCATACTGTGGCCCTGAATCCCCATTTTACTGAAGCAAACGTTGAGGCATCGGGACATTAAGGTACATGCTCAAAGTTACACAGCTGATGCATGTCAGAACTGAGATTCCAACTCAGGCTCTTTCACTCCAGAGCCAGTGGTAACTGGGTCCATGGCCACCTGAAACCTTTAAAAAAAAAAAAAGATTTATTTGTTTATTTCAGAGAAAGAGAGAGAGAGCAAGGGGAGGGGCAAAGGGAGAGGGAGACCAGCAGATGCCCTGCTGAGTGGGGAGCCTGACGTGGGGCTCAATCCCAGGACCCTGAGAGCATGACCTGAGCCAAAATCAAGAGTCAGACTCTCAACCATGCAGGTGCCCACCACCTGGAACCTCTTAAAGATTTGCAGCCCCCTTGGTGAAGAGATGGAAGGAAGGAATCAGGGTGCACTCAGGGCAGTGCCATTTCTCCCGTTCCTGGGTACAAACAGCCTTGCAGCTTCAGTATTGTCCAACAGGTCACCCTCCAGGCCCCCATTGGTGCCTTCAGTGAGAAGCAGTCTCCAGAGACCGAATAAATCAGGTAATTTGGCTCAGGAAAAGGCATTGGAGAAATAAATTGCTGTTGCACCATGAATATAATAAGGCAGTTAGGTAGATGGAAATAGCTATGTTTTGATTACACGAGTGAAGATTATGTGCAGCAGGTTTTTAAGTCCAAGCTGCCTTTTCCTTGGCCTCCTCCCTGCCAACTAGCTACATTCTTCTAACTGCCTCCCCAAACTGTCCAGCTGGTGTGTGCTCTGGGAACACTAATCTGACTTTTCATATTAGCCCAGGCAAAATATAATTAGGAGGAAACTCTTCTGCCAGAAAATGTCACTTGCCAATGTCAAATAGAGATGATTTTGTATATCCACTATTTGGGGCTTTTTTTTTTTTTTTTGCACCAGGATAGACTCATAATAGCATTGTGTAATCTGGGATTGACTATGTGGCTAAAGAAGATGATAACATTGAATTTTTGTTACCGAAATTTCCTTTGCTTTCTCTTTCCCCTTCCCCAAATTTGGGCAGAGGCACTTTCACTAAAAGGAAAAAGACTGGATTTTTATGGAAGAGTTGACACGCATGTGAGCCTGACCAACACGGTTCCTGAACTCAGTCGATTCACGGCATGCATTGACCTGGTGTTCGCGGATGACAAATTAAGTGGTTGGATGGCCTTCTCCTATATTACTAATAACACCTTCCTGGGCAGAGAAGACATAGACCTTGGACTTGGAGGAGACCATCAGCAGCTAATACTATACAACTTGGGCAAGACCTTTTATATCCATTACCACCTGACTCCCTTTCAGTGGCATACCATCTGCTTGATATGGGATGGTGTGAAGGGCAGATTCGAGCTCTTCCTGAATACAGAAAGGATACTGGTAATGATGGATCAACCGCAAAACCTGACACCTAATGGGACTCTGATTCTAGGACATTTTCTCACGAACTGGGACAGCCAGGTAGGAAGCGCACTGCCTGGCTTTACCGGCAGCTTGTACTACTTTCAACTCTGGGACCACATCCTGGAAAATGAGGAGTTTCTGAAGTGTGTGGGTGGAAATGTTGTTAGCTGGGAAGAAGATGCTTGGCTCATCAACAAGGTCATCCCGACTGTTGACATGAGACTGCGCTGCTGTGAGTAACTTCTGAACTGTCCTCCTTGGCAAGGGTTGTGCAGATGTGGTCTTCTGCTCGCTGCTCTGGATGACCCACTCTGGGCCAAGGCTCTGCCCTCCTTAGAAGGGCCCAAGGTTACCAGTTTTGTCATCTGCTTTTTAACGTACAGCAAAGACTATTTTCTTTTTTTTTTTGTCTTTTGTTTTGATATCACTTAAAACTTGCAGAAAATTACAACAGGGCAAGGAACTTCTACATGTTTTTTACCCAGATTCACTGACTATTACATTTTCCCTGGGTTTTATTATTCTTCCTTTCTCTTCCTCTTTCCTCCTCCCTACACACACACACACACACACACACACACACACACAGTTTCTTTTTTTTTAGATTTAAATAATTTTTTA